TTTGATCACTTATCGGAAAGACAAATCTCGGTCCCGACCCGTACGACTTTCCTTTCCAACCAAACCCGTCTGGACCACTACTGCTTCTCCAAATGCACGCTTTCGAAATGACGCTCCTTGCGTCCCGCTAATCTCGTTTTCTTCAATCTCCGACGTGGACAAAAGGTCGGTACTGCCGATCTCGGCGTCGCTGTGGATGATGCCGTTACTCTCATCAATGGCGCTCTGCCGTCTGGCTGCTACTTGGCATCGCATAGCTCTCGGATCGGTCGATTCAACGAGCTGCTTGTCCTCCAGTTCAGTCGCGAATAGATTACGACTCGTCTGGATTGGGCATCGCAGAACCAGTTTTCTATTTACTTCGATAGCAGGATTGTGGTCACCGCCGCTTCGGAGTGGTTCTTTGCGCATATGCTTCCGCTATGCTTCCGCATGTATTATAGAGCTCTCCGTGCATCAGCTACGCTTCTTATTTGCCCCTTCGCGTCTCTGTACACGCTAGCGTGTATAGGGGTGAAACTCCCCGGAGAATAGTGAGTGGCTGTAATTCCTAGTAGCCAACCGAGCGTACCTCATCTCGCAGCCCCGCTGCTCCGTAGTACGTATTAAGCCACCGTGGGCTTCCTAACAGCTCCCCTCTCTTGGCTATGTCTATTTCCCTTGCCCGCCCAGCCCCGGCTGCGCCGCCCTCTGGGTAATTTCATCTGTCATCATGTATTTTTCTCTTTTTAAGGTTTACGCTAGGAGAATTTTGCAATAGTTATGACGAAGAAGTGACGAAGAAGTGTAAGCCCATTGCAGAATTCTCGATTGCAGAATTCTTTAATTGAATTGCAGAATTGTAGTTTACGCCACACCCAACAATCTAGAATTCTGCAATAGCCATGAGTAATAGTATAGAGGCAATTTCGAAACAGTATGCAACCGCCAAAGCGAAACGGTATGCACTCCTGAGCACAGGATCGCCTTCTCGGTCAAGGGACGCAGCTTTTACGCAGCGACACAAGCCATGAGCGGTCGATTGCGAGATCACACTTCGCGCGTGGCCACGCGGCGCGCGACTCTGTCGCGTGCGGTGTTGACTGCCGCCGTGCACAAGCGGGGTACAGATCGAGGCTCGGCTCTGGCCTCGTTAAGTGCGCTTCTCAACATCGCGCAACGCTACGCGCAGCACAAGAGGGAGCGCTCTCGCTACGCACGGCGCACCCTCTCGATCTCGTTCACTGAATTCCATGTCCTTTTTGGTTCTCTGCCGGACGCCTCGTGCCTATCCCTTTTCCGGTTTCGGAAAGAGGCCGTGCATCGCTTGACGTCTATTTTTGCGTGGCCGACCCAGGTGACCAAGACAAAAAGAAACCGTTATGCGGTTTCCCCGCTTTTAGCGACATGCGTCGTTTTGCGTAGGCTGGCAAGCCCTGCTCGCTGGACAGATGTTGAGTTGTTGTTTGGAAAGCACGCGTCGCAGCTCTCGGAAATATTCTGGGAGGGCTTGGAGTTCTTCCTAGACGCCCGTATGCACCTCATTACTGAGGACATGAGCGCAGAGCTCATTGAAGCGAAAGCCCCAGCTTGGGCGGCGGCGGTGAGTGATAAGAGCCATGCGCTCGATAATTGCGTGGGCTTCATCGACGGGACGGTGATTGCGATCGCGCGACCCAGTGGCAACGCCTCTCTTCAACAAGTGGCCTACAATTGGCACAAGCGCAAACACGGGCTGAAATTTCAAGCGGTTACAAGCCCATGTGGGCTTATTTTGCATGCCTATGGCCCCATGGAGGGGCGTCGCCACGATTGGACGATGTACAGTAGAAGTGGCCTCGATGAGTCACTGGAGCAGCTTCTGTCTGTCGATGGGCACCAGTATTGCCTGTACGGCGACGCCGGGTACAACGCACGGGCGTTCATGGAGGTGCCGTTTCAGGGCTCGCATCTAAGCGACAACCAGAGGGCCTTCAATAAGGCTATGGCGCTGTCAAGGGTCTCAGTGGAGTGGCTGTTCAAGGAGGTCAAGCAGAACTGGACCGCAGTGGACTTTAAAAGGAAGCTGAGGGTTCGTGAGGCGGCTGTGGGCTCCATGTATCTTGCGAGCATGCGTCTGACGAACTTTCGGAACTGCGTACATCCGAACCCGATTTCGCAGTATTTCAACTGTCTGCCCCCGTCCCTTGAAGAGTACGTCTCACACAAAGGATAAATAGTACTCCATGCTCCAATGATCCAAATAGAAAGGCGTGAAGTGTGTGAGATTGGGAGGCAGGTGTGGTTCATTGGTTCCCTCTCTCTAGGGTCCTTTATTTTAGCGCTTAGCAAACAGCCTAAAGCCAGAAATAATACAGCAAGGCTACTTCTTGGAGGAGAGCATCTCCATCATGAGCTTGAAATTCTCGAGCTCAAGGCTTCTGTGTGCTTCGCGGTCCTCACGACGGTCTTCGCGCTCGCGCTCGCGCTCAACCTTATCCTCCTTAAGGCGGTCACGCTCGATATCAACGCGTGCCATGTCCGCACTGCGTATCGTCGCCGCAAACGCACATAGGTCATCACCTCCTGAAGGTGCAATCTTGCGCCTTTTCGTCGAGACAGGGGCCTCCGCATCGGCGCCGACGTCGACATCGGCGTCGGCATCGCTTGCGCCGCCTTCATCGAGAGCAGCCCGGCGGTTCATCGCCATCTGCACCAGCCTTCTCCCACATTCCTCCTTCTTCTCTTCCCTCCCCTCTTTCGCCAACTTTTCGGCCCTCTTCTTCGCGTGGGCGTCGCCACGCGCCTCATTCATACTTGTAAGGATGTCATCAAGCTCATCCAGACCTCCACCAAGTCCCGACGCCGCCCGCTCGCGTTTGTCCTTCTTATCGTATGTTTCTTGGAGCTTTCGGTACCTGTATCGTATGGTCTTGCCAGACACGACACACGCAGCGCGCCAGTTTTGTTGGCGCAGCACGCTGCCTTTTCGAAGCAGTTGCGCGCGGCACCGTACGGCGCTATATGCGCCCCTGCTGCACACACCTCCTTAACGATGACGAGATCGTCCTCGCTCGTGTACTTCGCTTTGCGCCCCGCCGCACCCGTCTTCGACCCGCTTGTAATGTCGATTGTCTCCTCTGAGTCCGTCAGCTCCGGAGACTGAGTACCGACAGCCTCCCCTTCCTCCACATCATGGATGACCTCCGCCATGGTGCTGAAAACCAAATCGCTGAGGATGCGCAATGCGGCGGAAGGTCGTAGGGGACGAACCATTGAGAAGAACACATATATACAGTTCCCGCCAAAAGTGGTACACGTATTGCCCACGCAGTGCACGTGTATTTCTCACGGCTTGGCAATTGCAGAAAAGGTTGTGACAAGAATGGCACATTTCTGCAATTATCGTCACGACCGATTAGAGAATTCTGCAATAGATTTGATACGTGTAATACGTATTGCAGAATTCTGGCCGCCGAATTGCAGAATTCTGTTTGCGTAATCTCTCTTTTATGTTTTCTTTATGTTTTCCAGTTCGGTTTAATGGTTTGCGTAGCCTTTGTGTGTCCCCTCTTAGCCGATGTCTCGTGACCGACTAGAACCAATAAACTACGAATATCTTCGGATATGTAATTTACAGAAGTTGGCTACTGTACGAATATGCAACGCTGCACAGTAGCACCTGCCGGGTCTAGCGGTTACTGTACACGTGTACGAGTACAGTTCTGACAGCTTTGAGATGGGAGACCAGAACCCAGGAGCGCGCTGATTATGCTGAAGCCTTGAGGGCTACCGGGCGGGGGAGAGCGGTATGAGCCTGGTAGCCTTCGAACACACCGCACCAACACTACTGCACTGAAGCTGCCTACTATCTACGGTACATCTTGCTACATAATAGTAGGCAGCTTCAGTGCAGTATGCCTGCCGAGTGGAGTAAATGTTCCTGAACAAGCGGGGGGGGGGGGGGGGGGGGGGGGGTGATTTTTATTTTATCCTGAACAAGCCTGAGCTAGTAAAGTTCATCATGTCATGTCACAGCACGTGCGCATTCTTTTGTTCAAAACCGTTGAAAACGCCCTACTTAAAAGCAACGTCAATTTTTTACATACTGTACACGCACTGTATTAATATATTATGAAATTTATATATAAATAAAGATTCAAAACGCATAGGCCAAGCGTTACATTACAGTGTTTTCTTGAGGATTGATTGCTCCTTCAATCGAGTGGGCGGGTACGAATATTTCATTTTCTAATACAGTACCCTGGGGTACTGTATGGGGGGAGTCGGAGGCCGGCAAGTGTAGCTTCTGCAGTGGGTGTGTCTTAACAGGCTGGTTTTTGTTTTCACTCCGCACTATACAATACTGCACCCTTAAGCACGGGTGGGTGTGATGCGTGTAAACAGAGGCCGGGGCCGACTCTCAGAGGCCTGCTGAATATGGCCTCAGGACATGAAATGCAATATGAAATTTTAATAGACAGAATTTTAAACTGAGCAGATGCAGGGCAGCTACGACAGATGGGCAAGGCGCAGGGGTCTCTGGTTGCCCCGCCACAAAATCCAGCAGGCCAAATTTCGGAAAAGCTTTCCTGTCGAACAATTGGCTCCCCTCAACTTTCATACCTGTGCTTCGCGCATTTCTTCTTCGACGCATACGCACAACGACGTCCTTCTTGTGCCAGTGCTCGTTTCCCCTCTTCTACCAGACTGCCTCCCCACTTGTAAAGGCCGATACTACGCTTCAATACTCCGCCTACCTGTAGTTTGTTCAACGCTAAGCGAATACTTGGCACAATTTCCACACCCACCCCCCACAGACACAGACACCCAAGCTGTTCGTTCCAATCTTACGAATACCCTGTTCCGTCCGCTTTGCCTCATTCCGATCTTGTTGGGAACATGCGGCGTGGCTGGTCCGTCGTCATTAATTTTCACCGACAGCGACAAACCCATACCTAAACCCCAAACTATTTGTTCACTTTTCGAGCCTGCCGCTGCGGCTCCCAAACACCCCACCTTCCCCTTACGTTGATGGAGGTATGCAGCGAGCAATCAAACCTTCGCCATCCAGTTCCTTGGCAGAAGTAGTATGTCAGTGGCAGCCTACCCAACTCCATCAACTGGCCAAATCCTATTCAGAGTCCTGCTCTCCTCCTCAAGTCACTTTCTCATCATATGATAGATACAAGGAGTACTTCGAACCACTTCTGCTTGCGGAAGTTGCCGCTGAGCTGCTTTCAGCCTCGGAAAAGTTTCAAAGATCCAAACCAGCGCGCCAACCGAAGTTGCGAGCTCGTCGTCAAGAGCCCGGCACCAACGCCGCCCTCGTTCTTGTCTCAAAGGTGTCACGGCGGCATTCTTGGGGCTTTGGCTGGGCCGTAGATCTTGACTCGAATGATCGAAAAGGACCCGTCGGTTGCATTGATAATGATGTCGTTGTTTTATGGCTCTCCTCCGCCTCACAGACACGTCAGCGACCTCCTCGTGCTCGATCACAACCGCTTCCAGCGTCCCGGGTCATCTCCGACAACGCTGTCCTTGGTGTTGTCGTCCGTATTCCCTCAAGAACGGGTTCTCGAGCCGTAGTCGTTTTATCCAAGTTTCCTGACGGTAATGAATTAGGGGTTCGGACTGACTTGGAGGACGGTGAAGAAAACGAGGACGCCCTACCAAGTGCACGCGTCTGGAACCTTTTACGGTTAGGATCCCTTACGACAATGAAGAGAGAATTTGATGCATTACAAACCATCAAAACATCGGTGCTGCTCCCCGTTTTGCTTCGTCCAGCGCAGCAAAGCACAGGTTTTGTCCGGGACGAAGAAGATACACCTGCTACAGCTTCCGGAATCCTAGTTGATGAGAAACAAAATGTGGACCTAGGAACTACTTCATCGCAGTTTCGAAATGAAGAAAATTTCACGCGAGTTATCGCAAGCAAAACTGGTCTAAACCCATCTCAAGCACGGGCCATATTGCACGCTAGTACGTGCAGAAATGGATTTTCTGTCGTTCAGGGTCCTCCTGGGACTGGAAAGACGAGAACGTTGATCTCCCTTCTCAACGTTATCCATATGACTCAATATCAGGAATACTATGAAGGACTACTAGCTTCGTTCGCTTCAATGCATGGAAGTCGTGCTCAAACGCAAACGCACGTCAAAGAAGAATCGAGTGCAGCAGAAACGCGAACTGCAGTTCCAGACAAAGGACGAGAAACAGGTTTGCTCTCGTCGATGCTTCTTGCAATGAGTAAGACTTTCTCAATGGTTAGTGAATCGAAGCTTGTCCGGATTTCCAAACGAGCAAGACGACCCCGTCTTTTGATCTGCGCACCTTCCAATTCTGCAGTAGATGAGATTCTTACCCGATTGACGAGCAGCAAATTTGTCGATGGTCAGGGGCGTGAGTATTGCCCCGAACTGGCGAGGATTGGAGCTGGTGATAGGGTGTCAGAAGCAGCAAAGTCTTTCACAGCAGAAGGGCAGGCAGAAGCGTTCTTGGATCGTCTCTGTGCAGAAGATATGAATGCAGAAGCTCAAAAGAAAGCCCAAATGGCGTTTTTGACCACTTGGCAAAATCGCTGCAATTCTCTACTTGTTCAGCTCGCTCGTACCCCCAAGAGACAAGAATCTGCCCACCCCACAATCATTGACCTCCACGAAAAGCTTGAGAGGATGGACAGAGACTTGAGAAGGCTGAGCATCGCAGCATCAGATGGAGCGAAAGATCTCAAACGGGAGGAAAAATTACGACAGATAGCGCGAACATATGTTGAAGATGCACAATTAGTGTTTTCAACGCTGTCAGGCGCTGCATCAAGCATTTTGACTAAGAGAGCTGTCAATGATATTACGAGCGCTGAAGGAGCTCTGTTCGATACTGTTGTTATAGATGAAGGCGCACAAGCAACTGAGCCTTCTTGTCTAATTCCAATGGCCTTGGGTGCTAGACGATGCCTACTTGTCGGAGACCCTCAACAGCTTCCTGCTACTGTTTTATCGTCAGGCGCCGCTGGGCTGGCGTATGGTCAATCACTACTAGAACGAGTATGTAAGGGGGGCCAAAATGCACAGATGTTGGACACGCAGTACAGAATGCATCCAGCCATATCCTCGTTTCCTAGGCGCTATTTCTATCATGGCCGACTAGTTGACGATGAAAGTGTGCAAGGTGAGAGCAGAGCACGGCCGTATCATCGTGATGCCATACGGCCAAAACTTGGGCCATACGTTTTCCTGGATATTGCAGATGGAGAGGAAATGAGAAGCAGAGACGATCGGTCCATCTTCAATCGGTCAGAAGCTGAACTTGCCTCTTTGATATATACAAACCTTAAGAAGAATTACCCTAAGGACTCTCTTTTTTCTGCTTCTGCCAAAGTCCACGGTTCTGTGTCAGGTTTTGGGGTTGTGACACCCTACAAACGACAGATGCAGGAGCTGCGCCAGTCATTTGACAGGGCTGGTATTCCCACTGGCGATGTAGAGATTGATACAGTAGACTCGTTTCAGGGGCGAGAGAAAGACGTAATCGTCTTCAGCTGTGTAAGAACGGCATCAGCTCACCGCGGTATTGGATTCGTGCGTGATGTGCGTCGGATGAACGTCGGGCTAACACGAGCTAGGTCGTCTCTCATCATTCTGGGTTCTGCACACGCGCTGGCAGAAGGGTCAACAGACTGGGCAGAGCTCGTCGAGGATGCGAGCTCGAGAGGATGCCTCATAAGCGTTTCAAACGTCACACGATGCTTAATTCCACCGACCCCAAGTCGTAAGGGATTGATAGCGTCAGCACCGGTCGTGCCATGCACTTCAAGCAGCGAAAATCTACTCCACCAGCCTGGGCCGCGTCCGCCGGTTGAGAACTCTCGCGTCGCGAAAGAAAAGAACTCTTCCTCCAAAGGCCCCGTAGATCCCCGTAGACGGGCCACAAGGAAGTCATTGGTTGCTGACACTGACAAGAGTGAAGGCCTGCCAGATCCAGGGCGTCCTTCTGATATTCCTGGAGAAGTCAAGTCCAATACAAGTGTTTTGAAAGTTCCAACACAACAGTTATCAGTGCCTGGTGATGCAGCAACACAGCATGCGTCAAAGGTGGCTATATCGGACGCCTCAAGAGACAAAAACTTTGATTTGCAGTCAACACTAGAGCAACTGTCAAAAGTATTAGCAGACGGAGGCGTTCAAAATTTAAGCGGGATTGAGAAAACTTTACGAGAGCACGTCAGGAATGGTGGGGCACTAGAACTGGAAGCAATAATGGCTGCGACAGTCACAAACGCAAATTCTGACCCAAAATCTTCGGCGAAGCCTTCGAACGAAGCAACCCGACAATGGCAACAACCGCTTTCAGTCACCACACATGACACAGCCGCTGGCGATGTCCCCAATACAAGCGCTAGTAATGGATCAGCAAGTGACCGGATCGTCGGTTCTGATCCAGGCAGTATTATTAGACCTGAACCCCCAAAAACGAAACCTTTTCTACCAGCTGATGGAAACCCAACAACATCTGTCGCAAACAACGAACGCAGTAACGTTTCTGATCGAAGCAACAGGGCTAGAAGAAGTACAACGAGAGGGCGACAGGCAAAAGCGAATGGACGCGAAAAGTCAGCGGACAAGAAGCGAGATAAAAGCGAGGGTTCCGCACCATCGGGGTGGGATATGCTGTTTTCCAGCAAGGGCACAACGCCAGAGGAAAAGAATAACAACCTCGCCGGGAACGGGGCCTCGTCGCGACCAGATTCGAAAGAAGAACTTGTCCAAAACCCGCACCAGTGCGGCAGCGTTAACGCTGAAGCAGTTTTGAAGAGGACGGAGGTCGACGGGCAGGGCAAAAGCGGGCCAGAAACAAAGCCTATAAATTCACCAGAAGAAAAACGAGCTCGGGGCCCAGACATGTCAGGTCAAAGCAGCAGAGCTCGCAAGAATTGGAACGAAAAGGTACGAGAGGTTGACCGGAAGCGCCATAGGCCTCCTGAACCCAGCTTTTCGAGCATAGGTCGTAGCGGCTACCGCGTCGGAAGAGGACGAGTTCGGCCGAAGCGAGGTCGAGGACGGGGTCATTTTTCCCATGAACAGCGCCATCGTGAAAACTTCATTTCCAATGAGACGTGGCTGCCCTCGCAGTATAACCACAATCTCGCACCTCAGCACGTAACCAGTGGAATTCTTGACTCTGGCATGGGGGCACCTCACGCTATCGATGCCTTGCATGCAATGCAGGCAATGCAACAACATCCTCACATGATGCAACATGCTCTTCAAACGCAGCAAGTGTTACAGCAACAGGCCATTCAACAACAAGCTTACCACCACCAACATGCACTGCACCAACAGTTGCACCAACAGGGTATCGTGCATGAAGATGTAATGCCACAAGCAGCGTTGATGCACATGCCCGCTGGTATGCAGATGGCGGTTCTTCCTCACGAAAACTATCAACAAACCTTCGGTGCTGATGCCAACAGTGAAAGTCATCTCGGTCAAGAGAATGTGCAACGCAACCAGAGCCGGTCTCACAATAGCTGGGGTTATCCTGGCAGTGGAAGAGGAAGGGCCCGCGTAAAGCATGGCGGTCGAAATCGGAGGGGCGGATGAAGATTACGCTTTTGTATGTGAAGCATAGTGCTGACGGCTGCCATTGATATCTTCGTGAGGAACTTATTTATGAAAGTTTAGTTTTATGCGCTTCGCGATCGACCGTATCAGCGGAACGAGTTGGGGACGTTCTGTAGAAAGGCGATGACCAAAAGGGGCGGCAGATGTGCCCAGTTCTATCACAGTTTCTATCACGGTAAGGAGCAGAATTGCAGAGAGGTCCCAAACCAAAATGATTCCGACGTTTCCAGTCCAATACGTCACCAGGGCCCATCCCATACTCCTGTCCGAACGTTAATGTCTGAACGGCAACGAGACTATTGGCATAGCGCAAAAGCGAAGAGCCGGCTTCTCGGCAGAGCCATTGTAGCCACCAGTTGTTTCCAAATCAGGACAGAACTAGCCTCAATGAGGACAACTGAGGACAACGGTCCAATAGATCTATTGGACCGTTGCACTAGTAGTCATCCATCGAGTGTAGAAGTCCCCCTCTGGGGGCGTCCACACTCGGTGGATGCATTGTCATGCAAAAATGGGGAGGCTTCGAATTTAGAAAGATTCCCAGCGACATCTGCGCCGACACGATGCACTCCGTCCGCAACTTACCACATGCGTGAACAATACAGTACAGGAAGACCTGAATTCTGGACTTCGTGTCAAAATATGAGGCCTCATAGGCGTCCCAAGAGCGTACTCCTGCGTACATTGCGGTTCGCTGGGGATATGCGGACGCGGGAGACTGGGACGAAGGGCAGTGTGGGCCCAACGGACAGGGTGATCAGGATTGGCGACGATGGTAAAGCCTCTGGAGGAGAGCGCAGGCAGTGAGGAATTGTGGAAAATCGAGGGTGCGCAGATGGAGGGAATCGAAGCGGAAGCGGACTAATATTAGTGGGCGTGTAGTGAGTCCGCTGATGGGTTGAGGGACGCGAAAGTAGGGACGGCAGATGGCGTGTTCTTTGGCGAGCGTCGGAATGAAAGGATGATGAAGAGAAAGGCGCGCAAGGAGACACCAGCGGCGCGAAGCGAAGGGCAGTATATGGGGGAAGAGGATGCCTGCGAAGTCAGTACATAAGACTGAGATAGATAGAGAATAACGATGGAGGACACAGACACAGAGGAAGCAACGAATGAAGCAGAGGCATCAGAGGAGGAAGGATCAAACGGGCTCTGGACATGGACATCAGGTGGACTCCTGGGAAGTTAGAGTGGATTCTCGGACGGGGTTGTCCAAGGCCGATCCGTAGGACGTCAAGCGGAAAGGGAGCGGTACCAGGTGGATTCTTGAAGTGCTTGAGCGGACTCTCGAGCAACGTCGCCCAAAGCTGGCTTGTGACTCCAATAAACGACCTGGCTTTCATTATGCCCTGGAGTGGTCACAACAGTTGGGCTCTTTTGAATATTTTTGTATGTGGCACTCGCACTTCGAAGTCCTTACAGAGCCAGAGCTTGACAATGTCGCACGAGACAAATACTGAATGCGAAATTAGGTTTCAAGGACGCAGTTGTCAGGAGAATCAAGTCCTTTATTCCTGAATTTAATTGTACTACCGTGAGCTATTCTTTGTCTTCAGAAAGATGACGTGAAGTCTTGATAACCAAGACAAGTGTAGAATGCACGAAGATTTCAACAGAGGTTCATTTCTGAACGCAGCGAGGCTGCTCGTCCCGCGGTCGCATCTCTGCACTATGGAATGCTTCAACTGAGAAGCCGATAAGACTCAATCTTTCTCTTTCATGCTCACCGACCTCTAGCGTTCGCAAAATCCGCTTATTGCCCAAGCTATCCTCCGAAAGCGCTATTCTTTTCAAAAGCCAGCAGCTTTAACATGGTTCGCCATGTTTCTTGTCGCTCACACAGATGCTACAGTCGTAATGGCGGCCAAACCAGTGCTCGAAATGAGAAGATCGCAGACTTGGTCCACTTGCTAGGATGCCTGCTCTTGCTTTTAAGCCACAATTCCTCTCTGGTGTTTGCAGAATCGTTCTCTCAAGTCTCTCGTGACGCCGAGTTTTTGGCATGGATACTTCTGCTAGTCTCCAACGTATCCGACCTTCGAGCGTCGAGCATAGCCCATCGCATGTTTTACAAATGGCACCAAGCGCGCAAACACAAGGACCGCTTCATATCAGCCCCCACCATTGTCGATGGAACGGTTTCAGCATTCTGCGCCCTTTCATGCTTCCTGGTAGTGTCGAAAAGCTATGTGCTTTGGTACTTTGATGGCCGATTCGACGCACACATCATGGTATGCAGTGCGATTCTAATGTGCGCCGGTATGTTTGTTAACTCTGTGGTATCTCTTCCGTCGCTGGAGTTTAGCGTCCCTTCAAAAGTTGCAGTAGCCCACAACGTTGTCGTCAGTTTGTTTATGGTGGGATCTGTGATCCGACTCAATGAAGCGCTCGTTTTCCAATTTGCCGAGGACGCATCTTTGGTTTCTTCGATATCCCGGAGATTCAATTTCGGAGCTGACGTGCTGTTTGTTCTCGGATCTATACTCAATCATGCCAGAGTGCGGCACTTACTCAAGAACGTCGAGAATTTTATGACCGAGGTTAGAGGTGACAATGGCAAGCCAACAGGAGGTTTGCTCTCATGGTTTAAGTCCTCGCGATCGAATGACGAGATGAGCGACGACGATACAGACTTCGACGAAAACGGATGTGAGTCTGAAGATGATTCAAATGGGCGTTCCGCGACACGCCGCTCACGTTGGACGAGAGTGTAGTCGAACTACAACACATCATCAGGATATTCAAGGTGATCAGATGACATATTTGTATGCTTCTGGTCGGTCTCTAGTGTCTCTGCAAACAAAGTGTTTGGTAAGGCAACGCTGACGATATCCCGCGGCTGTCTTTAGAGAATCAAGGTCAAAAAGTGAATGCTGAGGCGGGGGAGAATTATTGAATTGGATGGATCTACGTTGTGTACCGTTGTTTGAGTTAGCAAACTGATCGGTGAACCGCGAAATATGAGTAGAGTACAGTATGTGCTGTACGGTACTGTACACTCAAATAAACTACTGTAGTCTGTCTTTCATTTCATTCAACTCAAATAAAGTTCGTAGACTGTCTCGAATCGAGACTCTCGATCGATGCGGCCAATGTTTGGCGTCTGTCTCACACGCAGCCGGGCATTAACTCCAATCAACATTCATGCTGTACAGGGCTACTATCCGCTTCTTGTGGAACCGACTATTTGTAGCTTCGTGCCGGCAAACCATGCTCCTGCGAAGTCTTGCCTGGACCTTGTGTGCAAATTGGTGGCGAATACTCTCCTTACCCCAGTCGGTGCCCCAAGTTCTGAATGCATCGCGTGACGTCCTCGACTGCAGTCTTTGTACGCACCCTGCAATCGATACCGGTACTGACGTTTCTCCTCTCGCTGACATGGAGACCTTCGTTCTTCAACCCGAGCTCAACGTTCTCTTCGCCACCGCCAGCGAGGCCGCCTCTCGTCCTGTTTCAGCATCCACCCATAAACGACTTTCTACCGCCATCAATCGCTTATCACTAAATCTTCATGATCTTCAAGCGAGGAAACGCAACCGGCCCTCCCGTTTACTATCCAGTTTCCTTCTTCAAACCCTACCGCTCACCCTTTCTGTCTTCACTGCCTCCTTGGCAACCTACTCTGAAAATCGTTCTGTATGTCGTGAAGCTGTTGTCTTTCTTGGCCGTCTGGTTGCTGCGATATGTCATGAGAACGCTCTGGCCACCTCGATGGCGACGCTCCGGAGCCTCAGGAAGGCTGCCGAACAGTGTTTCTACGCACTTGCACAAAAAAGGGAAGAAGATGATGTTCCTGCCCTTTTAGAAACACTTGCTCTAGTGGCCTCTACCAGGAGCAATACCAGTAAGCAGTTTCATCATTACCGCTCGAAGTTGTTAAAATCGTTAAGCCCGATGAGCAGTAAAGGAGTCCCAGAAGAATCCTTCATATCTGCACTAAGGGCGCTCGTCTTGGGATGGTTAGAGCACTCGAGATCTCCAAGCCATTGGCCTGCTGCTGTGTATTTCGACATCACAAAAGGAATTTCTAGTGCACTAACAATAAGAATGGAAAAGTCGAACGATGACGGCGAGTTGCGAAATCTGATTTTAAGTCTTCATGACATGGGCCAATCTTTCATTTTTGGGGTGCCAGAGCCAAAGGATACCAATTCCATAATACGGTTGGCATGCGCATCGGGAATTCTACACTCTTTAGAAACTGTCAAACTGCACAGCACTATTCCTTATATTGAAACATATGTGAAAACACTGCAGCTTCTCCTAGCAGATAAAACTTCTTCACTGGAGAACTTCACAGGACGACAGCTCCTCGACGACTTTTCTCACACAGATAATGAAATACTCGCTGTTGCTGGTGTTGCTTGCTGGAGCTCTTCCTCTCTAAGTACTCAGCTCACTCATGAACAGCTTTCGGTCCTCACAAGCATTTTAGAAGTCATCATGATAAATGTCGCCATGATGAAAAAAGGGAGCAATAATAGTAACGCCGACGTCGATCCCCAGTTGCTCCGAAGCGTCAAAGGTTGTTCTGAAGTGTTGGGTAAAGCATACGCATTGTTCTCATCACGCGAAGGGAGCAATAACAAATGTGTGCACTTTCTGCAACGCTTAGCCCTGGAGAATCACAAGAATATTGTTGTGGAGCGATTTGTCCTTGCCAGTGCCGTCGAATGTGAGACAACACCGCAAGATGCCATTGCTCTGTGTGATTTGCTCGCATTCTTAACTACCCGAAGTGCGACTGTGTTCAACGTCCTCGCAACCAGAGCCGTTCATGTTGTTTCCAGTGATTCAGAATCAATGAAGGCAGCATGCGGGTTTCTGTTGTCATTGGTGATGGATGTTTCGACAGGACCCAATGGTATAAGAGCCGCAAATCTTCTGAATGTTATGAAACAAATTACTTCGCACAGGTCTAAAGTATTCTTCCGTCCTTCAGAAGCGGGTACCTCAGGCGGGGACGAAGACGGTCACCATATATTTTGGCTACCGCTCATAAGAGCTCTTCAGCGTTGTCTTCTCGTGCATAGGTGTGGTGAGAACTTCTCTATTCAATGTATTGAGTTTTTTAGGGCAGTTCTGTACACCTCTGAAACATCATTGAGGCCTGCACGCAGCGCCCTCGTGGAAGAGCTCCCGGCGCTTATGTTAGAAGAATACATCTTTTGCGGAAACGCCCGAAGTGAGCAGAAAAGGCTACTGCAACTAGCAAGCGTATTCGACGCCCTGGCAGATACTGTCGTTGACAGTGATATGATCTCCAGCTGTCTAGACAAAGTTATAGCCGCCTCCACTAAGCTAAGCCAACGAGAGGTCAGACTCGTTTGCGTTCTGCTGCTTCGCTTCATGAAACGATGTAATCTTGATGTTCTCGAGACCACGTTGTCATCCTTGAGAATATTTGTCCGTAGAGGTGAAGCGCGTAAAATCGACTTCCTCCCCCTGTGCAGACTTGCAGTGCTTGGCACCGATATGCTTCGGAAGAGGCATGCTGTGGAGTGGATACTGGGGGTTTTTGACGGGAATGTCTACCGAGGTGCCCCAACCCGATAGAAGGCGGTTGTCGCGATTGGTGCAAGCCTCAATGTGTAACATACTTATAGATAGCTGTTTCAACAAAAGAAAAGGTCGTAAATTTTACTGGGCGACTCGAAAAACACAAACGCACAATTTGTGATGCGCAAATCCATCAATTTTGATTGACTGGGGGGGGGGGGGGGGGTTGTGTATACACAAACCGCCAATTTGCTCGTCGTTCGGCTCCCGATGTACAGTAATTGGGCGCTTCCTGAAACTATTTTTGTGCAGTCCACATTTTTTGACACATTTCTCAAAATCTGGAAATGTGCACCCGTTTTACTCCTGAAACTCGTGTGCGCAAATTGCTCCCCGGACTGACGAGCAGTAATTTTGCTCGTACTCAATGGCATCAAAGGGCTCTGCGAACGGATCGCGAAACCGACCGGGATATGCCTGAGCAGGGATGCCTCCCTCATCTGCGCTACTGCTGCTGCTGCTCCGAAAAAGAAGTAACCGTAAGCGCTCCCTCACCTTTCGCGCAAAAATGGCCTCCGACGGCAAACGCCGCCGGGATCGCCGTATACCTCGTCCCTCACTTCAAGCGCCCCATATGTCCGCCTTTGCATTTCTGTTCGGTTCTGGCGATGATCAGGCCCTCATCACCCTCGCAGGGCTTGATTTTCACGGGTTTCACTATCTCCTCCCCTCATTCAATAATTTCTACAATGCCTATTCCCCTTACGGCCGCCTGGGCCACATTAGGCGCCTTCCACAACGCGAAAACAGGGTAGGGCGACCGCGCAGTATGACTCCCACACAGTGTTGGGCATTGGTGCTGAGCTGGAACCGCACAAGAGGTTCTGAGATGGTCCTTTGCCTGCTCTATGGAATCACAGCGTCTGTGGCGTCGCTTCTTCTACGATTTGGGCGTCGTATCCTTCTCCAAATTTTGGCTAATGACGATAGAGCTGCGATCAAAGTGCCAAGTTTAGACGAGATGGCATCATTTCAGGAAACAATTGGTTCTAGATATTCCATGTTAGGTGACGTTTTCTGCGTTGCTGATGGCTTAAAGCTCACCCTCGAACAATCCGGAGACTTTGTCATACAAAATATGTTTTACAACGGCTGGACCCATGATCACTACGTGGTCAATGTTTTTGTTTTCGCCCCTAGCGGTGTCATAATCGCATGTGCTCTGAACACCCCCGTATCTATGCATGACTCTATCATTGCGGATTGGGGCGGGATTTATCCCAAATTGGAGACCGCCTATAATCAATGTGGTGGTCGCTGTGTTGTGGATTCTGCATTTTCAAAAGGACAATATCCTTTTCTCATCAAGTCCTCTCAAGACGGCTACTTCAGCAGCTCAGGTGACCCGTTAATTTACACACAGCTCAAACAAGCCACTTCCCTCCGCCAGGCGTCTGAGCGGGGCATGCGCGCTCTTCAAGGTACTTTCCCACGACTGAAGGACAGGTTAATTTATGAAGAGAATGGTGAGCCTAAGGTAATTTTACTAACAGCTGTCCTGATTTTTAATATACGTACTTGGCTGATAGGGATCAATCAGATTCTCTCCACGTTCATGCCCCATCTCAGCGTCGAGGCAAACTATTTTCTGTCTCGGGATATTGGTTTGTAAATGGAACGGGTCCAATTCCCTACAGAAGGCGCTCTTGTGACTACAGGTGAGTGGCAGGGGACTCCATTATAAAGCCACTATGCCGCCTGGCATCGTCTCTCACACCTGCCGCCTCCTCATCATCCTCACGAGCTTTCGCATTCGGCCGCCCGGCCACCGCCGCCTTACCCTTACCTTCTCACTGTTGACTTTGTGGGGGAGGCGGCGTTGGCTCAGAGCGGTGATTGCGATTCCCGAAGGCCACCATCATCATCATTTCCATATATTTATCGTGCCTTTTCTCCTCCCGATCTCTCCTTACCTTCTCATCCTCGCGGTCCTGTAACCTCCTCTCGTGCTCCTCAGCCCGACGCTTCTGGTCTTCAAGCATGGAGAGCTTGTAAATTGAGATAAGGTCGCTTTCATCCTGACTAGGCGGAACAGAACATGCCCTTCTACGGACCAAAGGACGTGGGGATGGCGTGGCTCTTTCTGGTAAATTCCGTTGGAGGAGAGAAATTTCACCTTGTTTGAGGAGCGGCATCCATATGCAAACTTTCAGCGTTCTCTACTGCTTCCACCACATTATTTCTGGTTGTAGATTCTGTTTCAAAGCTACTGTCGGCGATTTCGATTGCGTCGTCACCATCTCCAAGATCAATTCGATCAGTCATGTCGGCCCTGATGCGCTTGGCTCTCTGAACGTCGGGTGGAATGTGTAATAATATGGATCCTTCCGGTTCGGTTTTTACCCCGTCACGGAGGGGGTGTCCACGGCAGCGGTAGAATTACAACACCACCAACCTCTCCCCGAGGCGGCGGTTATGACTCCGGTAAACGTGCGAGTGGAATTGCGACCCCGGAGGGGATAGGGCTCAATGGGCATACACTTCCACCAGGCGGTGGAACGACCAAACTGGGGAGCGTGTGCTTCCGGCCCTCAAGAATAACCCGCACGGGACGACCTCCCTCTTTTTCCTTTGTTCTCGCCCCGGGGGTCGCTACCCCCTTTTACTCTGGGAGCGTACTGCCTCCCCCCTAAGTACGTCGACCTCCGGCGGCCGGGCAGTACAGTAGTGATCCACTTCTACTTTGGATCACTACAGTGGAGTACCTCTACTGTACTCCACCGGGGAGCAACCTGTACAGCGGTACACGTGGCGGTACTCCTGCCACCTGTACTCGCAGGCAGAGCGCGCACCACGTGTGCTAGCTGGGACTCCCCCGGCTGACACTCCTATTGCACTAATTTCTACGCCCCTACAGTAAGACCTTCTAGTCTACTGTACCCGATCGGGACATTATACGTACGGCAGTACACGTGGCCATTCCGCCGCCACCTGTCACCCGTGGCGGTACGTGCACCCCGTGTACAAGCTGAATTATCCCCTGCCTTTCCAGTATCGTCTGATCACCCCTACGGGATCTCCCTCCGGGTCGTTACGTTTACCGACCCCGGTCGGTACCCGTTCTCCCACAGAATGGGGGGGTCTCCGGTCGAGATTTGTTTTCTGTACAGCGCCGAAATTTTCTCTTGAGAGAATCCGCATTTCGATCCATCTCCGGGAACTGCTGACAATGCATTCTTTGAACCTCGTCCCACTCCTCCTTCCCGACGGGGAGTTTTTCCTGCAACAAATCCAGCATAGAATCAATTTCGCGCTGCGTAAAGCCATTTCCCCTTCCATTTCCATTTGTGTTCCTTCCAGGGCGCGAATTCCCTCTTCGTTTGGATATAGGATGACGAGGTGCGAGACGAGGTTGTTGCGCAGGAGTGCTGTAAGTTCGAGTACGGAGGGCACTACTATCTTTGTTTGACTGCGTGGCTCGTGGTCGCACTTCCTCTAAACTATCTTGAGGCTGACGGGGTAGCCGGGGTGTTTGAGCTAGATCGGAGGGAGTAGTTGGGTGACCTTGTAGCACAACAGCGCCGGACGCACTGAGAGAAGCAGAGGCGTCGAAAGAGGACGGCGATCGCGGGTTGGACATTTCGGGCGCAGAGGAGGTGGGGTCCGTAGGGAGAGAGATGCACCTGTCAGCGGAGGATGATACAGCGCTTTGTCGCTCTCACTCCCTCCAAAAATGCGATTTGTGCAGGTTGCACATTGGCCTCGTCCGTGGTCGAGCCTATACCAGTTTTGTCATTTGTGTATACACAAATTACAGTGAATGTACACAAAAATTGTCATTTGTGTACACACAATTTGTGTATTTTGGGTTTCAGGAGGCGCCCATTGTTTGTGCACAGACACAAACGCACAAATGCACCTACCCGTGTACCTCTCCCATCAACTGTCATCTGTGCGAGCTCTCCCATTGCTCCCATCCCCAGCCTGTTTATCCGCTGGCCTCGTCTTCTTCTCCCTTCTGCAGTAAGACGGTGACGGAACATGATGTTTCGTTGCCACTTCGCCCGTTGCAGCAACAAAAGAAGCAGCAGATATCATCTGAGGGGTGAATGGGATGGGGGTGCGAAGGTGGAATGGCGATCTGTGCGCTGGGCTTTTCCGTACTGCTGAGGGTGCATACGCCTTGCGAATGCATCATACGTATTTTATGTCATTTGCATTTCCGTCCCAGATCACGAAATACAACACACGTAGTGTACTAAGAGCACCCCTACTGGTTTAGTAATATTTCGAGGTTAAATATGAGACATTTGGTGTTTGGAGATAACGATTCTAGGCGCAACACTACCGGTTAGAGGGCAAATTCAAACGTAGTGCAGTGATTGGATCTTTTGGCAGCCGTGACGGTCATCCAGTACGAGGGGTGGTAGTGGTTCGGTCTCATTTTATTCAATGGATACGTCGGCGGATGCTACCACAAACTACGGATTTTCAGGACACTAGTCAAACTTCAATTGGGTGTTCGATGTCCGTGGCGTGAAGTGGCATACGGCAGAGTATGGCTGTAGCGATAGTGGACCATATTGCGTAACTGATTCGTTGATGCAGGTGTAGCCTCGTCGTACTGTATGCACAGTGGCTTCGGACGGCGATGTTGCGTGCTAGGGCGTTGATGACGGCGATCGATCGGGCGGATGCAGCGCCTAGGGTGTCAAAGGCGAGGGGCGCAAAGTGCCAGTCCAGGACAGGTATCGTGGCAGTCTGCCCCAGCAGATGGGAGGTGAAGCGCGTTGCGGAGGGTACGGTTTATGCCTTGTTGTTTATTTGAGTCTCCCTCTTCGGCAGCGGCGGCGGGACATTGTGCGGCCTTACGTATGATATTTTTGGTGTATGGGCTGCGCACAGTGACATCATAGGCAGTCGGTTTGTCTGGAGGCATGCCAGCGGCGGGAAGTCCCGGCTGAACAAGAACGTCGGCAGGTCGATGATTGGTGTGGGGGATCAAGAAGGGGGCTTCCAATGTGCCCTAAAATCCAGCCGCTCGAAACGCGTGTCGG